TGGAGAACCAAATGAAAATATAAAAACAAGAGAATCGAGGGTTCATTGCCAAGCAACGTTCTGGTGCCAAGGAAGAAGAGAGGATTTTAAATGAGGATTGAGCCATTTGGGGAATTTAATATTTAGAAGAGGCAGGGACAAGAGAAGCGGAGACAAAACCGAGAGGCGCTCACACAAACGGAGGGGGAGCGGAGGCCACAGAAAGAGAGGAAACGGGAATGGGACACCTCCCTCCCCGGGAGGGCCCAGAAGTGGAGATGTGGGCCGTGGACGGAGGGCTTTTGTAACAGAACCCGCTTTCCCCTGACTGCAGTCCCCAGTGCTCTCCAGAGCTAAGTGAGTAAATAATAGCAGAGAGAGAAAGCATTTAGGAGAGCAAAAAAGATGCTTCGAGATGGAGATCTGAAACGAGATGGGAAAACTGATGAGGCAGAGAGATTACAGGCTCCCGCACCATCGGAGGTGAAACTGGGTGAGGGGAGGAACTTGGCGACTGGGGGAGGCAGAAGGAGTAGGGGGAGGGATGGGAGGTGACTTCTCAGAGAAGTGGTTTGGAGGATCCAGGTGAGAGGCCTGGGCAGATCTCCAGGGGCCAACGAAAGAGAGCTGTCCTGGTTATGGATGGCAGATGTGGGGAGACTGCCTTGGGAGAGAAGATGTTTGGGGCTTAGGAGGTGTCAGCTGGGACCAGACCAGGCTGAACCGCAGAGAGGACCCGTGGAGCCCAGAGCTTACTGGGGATGTGCCACCTGCACCCCTCCTCTGGAGGCCACACATAGGTGGAAAGGAGATCAGATTGAGGACTTTGCTTCTACCCGCTCCCCACCCTCGGTACCCGTAGCTGGAGTTATTACCAGAAGTACTTGAAGAATCTTGAAGGCCCTAGAGTTAGAGATGCCAGAGAACACTGCGAACAGGCACACACTGCTCTCTCCGCATCTAGATCACGAGCTAATATGAGCGCATCAGCCAAGAAAACCGCATCCCAGACGGAGTGGGAATAGCAAAAAGCACGTGGCAGGAACAAGCTTGGGGCTTGGTGGGAGGGTGTGAGAAATGGCGTGGTGGGCGTCATCTGCAAGTCTACAGCGATGGGGGTCTCTCGGGGACCAGCACACAGCCTCGCCAGGGGACAAAGGGGCCTGGAGAGAGGAGGTGAAGCCCAGGCATCTCTGGGCCTGGTACAACAGGACCCCTGAGAGGAAAGGGACCCCCAGGCCCTCAAGACCAGTTAGGGTGCTCTTGGCTCTCAGCAACAGGAACTCTGAATTAAGATGCCTGATGCAAAAAAGGAAATGTGTTATTGCATGGCTTAGCAAGATTCCAGAGCGATGGGTTTGGAGGCCCAGGTCACTTCTGTCTCTCCTCTGTTGTCCGTGGTGTCAACTTCATGCTCAAGCTGGAGCCAGGATGGTTGCAGCAGTTCCAGGCATCACAACCAAATGCAGAAGTGTCCAGAGGAGGAAGAAAGACTGTCTCTCTTAGGAGAGAGTTTCTCAGGAAACTTTCCTGAGGAGCAAACCCCTCACTCCAGACCTCAGTGCACGTCTCATTGATCTGAGTTGAGTCACTGCGCAGTCCCGAATCCCACACTGGCAGGGAGATGGGATGGCTCTTGGGTCGCTCACCTGGCTCACCTGGCACCTGGGGCTGGGTCGGCCTCCTCTGAGCTCCTGGCAGCTTGGGCAGGGTCGGGGGGACACCCAAATGAAATGGGAGGAAGAAGAGGAGGATGGGTGCTACGAGGACAAATAAATAGTCAGGCCAAGAGGCACAGTGGACGTTCGAGAAGTCCGCCCACCACCCCTCCTGTCCCCAGCCCTGGCGCAAGAGTCCCACACTCCTGTCTGCTGTGGAGTGACAATAATGGAAAGATTGTCCCAAGTTGTCTTGGGGTTAGGGACGAGAACAAAGCTGGTAGAGCAAAGACAAGCTGGGCTTCCTGAGGGGAGCCTTGTCGGGCAGTGAGGGGGAAGACACCAGGCCGGACAAGGGTGCTGGGCATCCAGGCCTGGCTGTGTGCTGTCTCCCCTTGTGATTTTGGGCAGGAGCAGAACTCCTTGCGCCTCGGTTTCTCCTTTCATAAAATGAGAGAGTCAGACCAGTTGTTTCTAGGATCCTTCCAGTTCGAACGCTCTGCAGTTTATCTTAGAATGGGGAGGCTAACTGGGAGGCGAGGGTGAAGGAGCAAGAGAAACTGGCTTACAGTGTCATTTAAACGGCCAGACCGAAGGAGCTAGAAGCCAGTATCAATCAGGGTAACTAACTCCCCCTCAGGCAGATGTTTGTCTAAGCCAGAAAAGCAGAGTCTGTAGCATTCATAATTTCCATATGTCCTTTTGGCAAGGAAATGCGAGAGGCCCATTAATAAAAGAGCCACATGTGCTCAGGGAAAAGTGAATTATGTGCAAAGGACAAGGACGGTGGGAGGCTTGCGGAGGAGCACGCGGCAGGTGAGCCTCGAATCAGATAAACAAGGATCCAAGCAGCACAAGGGAAGGGCAGGGGTGGCGAAGAGAGAGGTGGTGATGGATGGGGGGCTCCGGAGCAGGGCTGCTCAGCCCGGCTCAGCCCGGCTCCACAGGACTGCAGAGTTTTCCACTGGTCTCCGTCTCGGGATGTGGATGCCCTTATCTGCTTAGTTTTCAGGTCTCAGGGGGCCTTAGGATCAGGGGACAGACAGGAGGGGAGATGCAGGCGGAGGGGACTCAGTGGCCTGGTAGGACGTCTCTGTGGACAGTGGGGAGGTGTCTAGGTCCAGGGTACGTGCCAGAGGGTAAGGGCTGAATAAAAGTGGAAAAAAAGAAAAGAAGCAAGAGAGGGAGGGAGAGAGAGGGAGGGAGGAAGAAAGCACACACTGGCTAGGTAGTTTTATGTTGCAGGTGAACTTGGACTGGAGCAACTTTATTGCCTCATTTTCTCTGTAATTGCCTTTTAAAGAGATTATCCAAAGTCTGCTCACCCAGTTGCTATCACAGGCCTCTTGGCCCAACGGACAGCAAAACCAGGCAGGAAACAAGGCAATCCGCCCAGTCTGCCTTCTGCCCTTGAAGCTCCCTGTTCTCGCGACTCTCTGGAGCCTTCATTGAGCCAGTGCCTGCTTCCTGAGCACCTGCCCACACCTGGACCTGGGGTGCCCAGCCCTCAGGAATGCTGGCCCCCAAGGCCTCTAGTTGACACAGCATTTTGACAGACTGGGGAGGCAGGGACCGCTGCTTCTCTTTTACAGATATGGAAATCGTTGCTCAAGTGGAGAGGTTCAGTGACATGCCCGGGGTCACTCAGCACATAAGTGAGGGACCGGAATCCAGAACCTTGGTTTGGTGTTCGTGTCTTCAACTACTTTACTCTGCACCTTGCTGGTTCTCGCTCTGTCTAGAGAGCTTGAAAATACCCACGATGGCATTGCTCCCTCCGACCTTGGAGGGGCCAGTGTCCCAGGGCCTGGCCAGGAAAGAGGCGGGTTGTAAGGAGTCTGTGATGTGGGAGAGAGCTCTGGCAGCCCCTCACGAGGGTGCCTTCGGTCTAAAGGGGAGGCTTGGAAGGGGCAGTATTGAATTGCCAGTGGTGGAATGTCACGCGTCAGTGGAGGAACTTGCCTTGCGATGGTTGACTTCTTGCCCCCTAACACCACTCCTTCCAGGAGGCTCCACCTGCCTTCCTGGGCACTCCCAGGCCCTCAGTACAGCGTTGACTGTGTAGTCTACACTCAGTAGGTTTCTCTTGTCAGAGACCTTGTGTACATGAACACAGAGAGGGTTCTCTCTCCTTAGGTTGCACATTCCCCAAGGACAAGAGTCTTCTGTCTTTCTGCTCCTGCCACCTCCACCCAGGCACCTCAGCCTTGTCCTCCCCAAAGGCTGCACACATTGCCTTAACTCACTGGGTAGTGGGCAGCTGTCAGCCAGGAGTTAATTCAATGCAAGCCAAGAAATTAGTCTTGGGGGCCAACCACATGCCAGGTCCCATGATAGATGCTGTGCAGCATATGGAGATTAAGGTCAGGCAAGTTCTCCGCGCTGAGGAGCTGGTAGTTTAACAGAGAAGATGAAAATATGGACACACGACTGCCCTGACCTCCTCCCTGGCTTTGGGTCCTCCATGGCATGATCCCTGACCCCTGCCCGTGTGTCTGATGTGTTGCTCCCTCCAGGTGTGCTCCACACTGTCCCCGTCCTGGTCTCTGCCCTGCAGCGCCCCCTCTGCAGTGCCTTTCTCTTTCTCCGGCTGCGCCCCAACCCCGTATCCAATAACTCATCTGCAGAGTCCTCAGTGCTCCATCCCAATGCCGTGTCCTCCGGGAAATACTTTCTTGAACATCCAACCAGATACCTCCCCCTTTGCCCCCACAGACCTTTGTGGGTCTGTCTCACGCAGTCTCACGTTACCCTGATCTGTGTCCTGTGTCCTCGCCCCTCCCTCCCCATGCCACTGCACGCCATCCCAGGAATAGTGTCTTACTCACCTTTGAGCTTTGAACCTGCCGCGCGCTTCATGCACTACACACTCATCAAGTTAAACAGCACAAAGTAGACAGTAGGTACACGTAGGAAGAAACGATATCGTGGGGACTTCCAGGGGGAAGTGACCTTCAGCTGAGACTGGTAGAGTGGGCCAATCTGAGGGGAATGGCCAGGTCCCTTTCCTCTTCCTGAGATAGGCAGCCCTGCTCCCTTCTTGGGGGTTCCTGGGAGCAATGGAAGTTGCTTGTTTCCCTGGGGCAAAGAGAGAAGAGGATGCCTTGGAAATCGGTTGCGACCCAATGGGTAGCTTGATGCTTCAATCCCAGGGAAGCCTTTGCCACCATGTCTGATGTCTGCCTTGGGCGAGCACCCCGACTATTAGCCGAGGTGGAACTGGCCCAGAGACAGGAGGTGGGCCAGTGTGACCCTCGTTTCCCTTTTCTTTTCCTCCATCCTTCCTCTTATTCCTCCTCCCCTCCCTCCCTTCCTCTGTTCCCCATCGCTGCCTCGCTCTGCCTGCTGCCCGGCCTTTCCCAGCTCTCCTCCGCCCTGCTGTTCGATGCCGTCTACGCGGTGGTGACCGCAGTGCAGGAGCTGAACCGGAGCCAGGAGATCGGCGTGAAGCCCCTGTCCTGTGGCTCGGCCCAGATCTGGCAGCACGGCACCAGCCTCATGAACTACCTGCGCATGGTGAGGGGCGGCGGAGGCCCTGCCCGGCCACGCCCAGCCTGAGGGGCGGGACACTCGGTTCGGGGCTCAAGAACCCCCCAACTCCAAGCTTCCCTGGTAGATCACAGATAAGTCAGTGATCTACGGTGGCCCCGGTCGACTGGATCATGAGTCAAATTTTTCCCTAATCCCTAATAACCGCTGAGAACCCGTAGAAGTTTGTTCAGAAGGCAATGGCCCTTGAGCCCTAGACTATTAACGGGCCGCCGTGGTCCCAGCAAAGCTCGGCACAGCGGGGGAAGGGCAGTGCTGCTAGGGACAGATCCCTCGGGAGCTGCTGGCTCAGAACTTCCAGCCTGGCGCTGGGTTTTCCCAGCGTTCTCCTCCCCAGCTGTGCCTCGTCTGCTGGGTGGATGTGAATCTCTACCCCATTAGAAGATGTCCCTTGTCAGAGAAGCCTGGTGCCGAGTATCCTGGGTTTTGCCTTTAGAGTCAAGTGTAGGCTCTTCCTGACTTCTGGCAGGCCTGGGGCTGGGTGAGCAGCTGCCCAAAGAGCACAAGTGCTACTGCAGCCGGGGCCCTGGCAGGTGGGCATGTGACCTCAAGTTAGCATCATGCCTGTGCTGGTTTGTGCAGTTGGTAGGGGGTTGCTGGCTGTGGGACATCGTTCTCCTCCAGCCCCAGCCAAGTCTGTGCTGTCTCCAGGGACAGCACATTTGTCCTCTCCAGACGCCGTCGTGGGAGAGGGGCTGGAGAACGGCTCCTGAAGGCTTCCCCTCTCTTGGGCACCATAAGGAGCCCCTGCGTCGTGGAATGCTTGCTTGGAGCCAGGCGGAACCCGGGGCCTATTTGGTGCTGTAACTCACTCTCTCTTGGACAGGTAGAATTGGAAGGTCTCACCGGCCACATTGAATTCAACAGCAAAGGCCAGAGGTCCAACTATGCCTTGAAAATCTTGCAGTTCACGAGGAACGGTTTTCGGCAGGTAAGGCCGGCTGCGCCGCCTTGATGGCAGGTCCCCCCTCTGTCCCTGTCTCTGTTCCCAGCGCATGTCCTTGACTCCTCGGCGCTCAGGACGGCCTCTTGCTCCCAGTTATCCCCCAGATGTCCTGCGTCCTGCGCAAGGTTCCTGGCCTGTGCTGGCCTGCCCCTTCCTGCCACCAGAGCACCCAGCGTGGGCCAGGGACTGTGCCCCACTCATGCTTTGTGGGGCGAGAGGGGAGGCGAAGGAGTGTCAGAAAAGGAAGGAATTCTCAGGCCTTGTCTACTTTTTTGGATTATTCTATCCCTTGAGTCTCCCCCTAACCCCGGGACCTGTGTTCGACTCCAGGGAGCCTGCTGGGGAGGCCCAGACTGGGCCCACGTGGGCTGAGGAAGCCCTCCGGCACTGGCAGGCATGCTGGGTCTGTCCTGCCAGCTCTCCTCTGACCAACCCTCAGCCCCCACGCCCCGTGCCTGTCACACACACCCTCTCCCGTCTGCTACCTGTCTGCTCCATCATCTCAGGGACGCTTTTTCCCCCCTAGCTCCTCTCAGCTCCCTGCTCTTTTGCTCATTCTTCTCCAGTAACCTCATCCTCCTTTTCTCCCATCCCCTTCCATCAGAGGAAACTGGGATCTGACAGCCACTCCAAATGTCCTTTTGAAAGCCTCCCACCTTCGCCATCGCCCTAGTAACCAACTCCCTGTCATTCGGCTAGCCTTTCTCCAACCTTGGAGAAGGCTGGTGAGTGGGAAGCCAGGCACTAAACACAGCGGGAAGCAGGCAGAGTGAGGAGTTCCCTGACTGTCAGAGTGGCTGAACAAGGGAGCCCACCACTGAAGGGGCTGCCCGATTGCCTTTTCCAGGAGATAATGAACAATCATCATCAGCACCATTATCATCATTGCCACCGCCACTACCACCACCATCATCCCAGCAGCTTCCATTTATTAAATTTATTTTATTTTATTTATTTATTTTGAGACAGTGTCTTGCTCTGTCACCCAGGCTGGAGCACAGTGGCATCCTGGGCTCAAGCATCCTCCTGCCCCAGCCTCCCAAAGTGCTAGGATTATAGGCATGAGCCACCACACCCGGTCAGCTTCCATTTATTAAGCACTTACCATGGGCCTTATACCATGTTAAGAGTGTGATGTATATTTTCTCATTTAACGCTACAAAATAGGCACTATTTATTAATCCTCATTTTGCACTTGAGGAAACTGAGGCTCAGAGAGATTGCCTGACTTGTCCTTAAGCAATGAATATTGACAGAACTAGTTTTGGACTCAGATATATATCTACCTCTAAAGTCCACGTTGTTAAACATTATGGCAAATTGTGCATCAGAATCACCTTGGTAATTTGCTGAGAATGCAGATCCTTAGACTGCACCTCACAGGAGCCTGATCGGGCACGTCTAAGGTAGGGCCCAGGAACCGATGCAGTCATCAGGCATCAAGGTGACTGTGATGGAACCCAAGACCCTGGAGGCCCTGTCACATTGCCTCCTGCTACTCTGTCCCTGCATCTGAGAGGCTCCAATCAGCCTTTCTTACAAGGCCCATTGAGTCCTTTCTAGGAGGCCAGTGATTACGCTGGGCCACAGCACCAGGTCACCCTTCTTGGAAGACAATGCAGTAAGAGGAAAGAGTCCCAGACAGAGAGAGGAACCTTGGGTCCAGGTGCCAACACTGCCAACAACTCCTAGAGTTGGGCTAGAGCTGTCTGTCAGCCACAACAATAGCTATCATTTTTCATAACTTCCCAAATAGGGGCAGAGTTAGGTAGGCAGCCAGAAACTATGGGGATAGCATATCCCAAAATGGCATTTCCTTTATCTATTAATAAATCGTTTATTGAGCATGTACTATGTGTCAGGTCCTGTGCTGGGGCCAGAGGGAAACAAAGCTGAAAAGCCCCGGCCCCTGCGCTAAGAGAGAGCTCACGGTGTGGTGAGGGAGGCTGGCGGAGAAGGCGGTAAGTGCAAATTTAGGTTATTAAACTCAGATTGTGCCCTTGGGCTCACAATGCCTGGAACCAGTGAAGCTGCCAGCCTGTGGGGAAATTGTCAGGCAGACTTTCCCCCGAGCCCCAGTATCCTTGGGGGATGTGAATGGGAGAACATTCATTCATTCTTTTAAGAAATCTTTGTCGAGTGCTTGTTATCTGCCAGGCTGTCTTCTAGGTAGATGTTTTTAAGAACGGGGAAAGTGTGCATTTGTGGAGCCTGTATTCTAGTAGGCGACAGACAATAGGCAAACACACACATGTATAACCTAGTGTCAGTAGTGAAAAGTGGTCTGAAAACAAGAGAAAATGGGGCTTTCCCCAGGGGAGTGGAGGTGGTGATGGGGGTGCAGCTGAGAGGCCACGGGATTGCCTGAGTCGCTAAGAAACAGCATGGTCAGCCCCCAGGCCGGGCCAGCAAGGGCTCCAGCCCCTACGTGTCCCCAAACTGGGCTGCGGCTTCTACATCAGCAGCACCACTGGGGGGTACCAGGACAGGCTACTCAAACGTAGGTGCTCATTTGAAAGAGAATGACGGGGGGTGCTTGTTTTAAACCGTACATACCCAGGCCCTGGGGATAAAAATTCTGATTTAGTCGAACTGGCTGCATTCCAGGAATCTGCGTATTTCCAACTAGCAACCAGGTAGGGGATGATAACGCGTGTAGCCCACAGACTACCCTTTGACGGTCACCGCTCTGGCAGACGAGTGTCCGTGAACCGCAGCCTCCACGCGTGGAATTGTTTCTTGGCCTCCCTGCATCCCACTCCCATCTTTCTGAGCTAATGTTGAATGGAGTCTGCTGCAGAAGTGACCATTTATACGATGGTGTTTTTGACCTTCCGCTACCCTAGGGGACAAACACTCCTGATTGGACTTATGAAGTAGATGGCGACTGTCCTCTTTATTACCCATTTTTTGTCAACAAATCTGGGGAGTGTCCCGCTGCTTTCCTGTCTGGCGCCGGCGCCATGGGCACCAAGTGACGAGCGGGTGATGTGTCCTGGGCTCGGAGGTGGCTTTGCAGCGCTGGTCCCCGGGTCCCTTCCCAATCACCGCAGGATCTTTGCCTCTTGACTGGCGTCCTTCCCCTGCTTATTACAGGATGAAGAAATGGTTTAGGGAGTGCTAATTAATTGGGCTTCTCCTCCGGGGTGGGAGGGGTGTCAGCATCTCTGCTTTGGTGTTCCCCCAGTTCCATCCAAGGCGATGCTGGCAGGGGAGGGGACAGTGACAAGGAACAAAGGAAATAACATCTTCTGAGCGCCTTTCGCATACCAGACAGCACGTGGGCACTTGGCACAAATCACTTTCAATCTTGAGGATGACCCTTCAAGGTAGATAAATTCCCATTTTGCTCATAAGAAAACTGAAGCGCAGAGAGGGTGAGGAACTTGGCCCTGTCCTCCCATTAGCAAGGACTTCAGGCAGAGCTGGAATTTATGCTCAGGTCTGTCCAACTCCAAAGCCCATGCTCTTGGGTCTCCCACTCTTGTCTGGTCCTCACTTTCCTGGAACCCCTAAACCCCCAAACCAAAACACTTTTACCCAGGTCTGTTGGTTTGCTGCAGACCAGGATGGCTCCTGGTTCCTAATGACCTGCTGGGCTGGGCTCTCTTTAGTAATGGCGTCTTCTCATTTGGCTCTAGTTTTATTCTCTCTCTTCCCGTCTGGGTGAGTGACTATTAAGAGCTGGGTTTGATTATTTAGAAAGCACCATGCAGGGACCCAGTGGGTTGTAATTGGTAAAATGTCTGAACCAAATACCACATTCTCTGCCGGTGGCTGATTAAAGGATTATTACCATTTTAAAAATAGCATTTTAGAATTCGGGGCTATTTTTTTTTTTTTTTACCATTTAAAAAATTACTATTGTGATTCTGTTTGGAGAGGGTTTTCCATCTTGGGACTCTCTGGAACTTCCACTGGAGACTGTGTGGGGGAAAATATGCCCTATCGTGTCCTGTAAGTGACATTTCTGAGCCTGGACCATCTCCCAATTATTTATTTATGGGTATAAAAGTACACAGTGCCACGTCAGCTCCATCCCTCAGTTTTTGCCTGTGTGAAATCTCCATTCTCCATCCCATATTCTCTCTTCTCATTCCCCAGAAGATGCCCTGGGTAGCATTAGGAAAGTATAGTCTTCCTTTCTGATTTTGGAGAGATCCTCTTTGAAAGAGGCTAGGAGAAAAAGAAGCGTAGCATTAGAAGGCCCTTAATTTTTTTCATTTAACTTGGTCTAAAGATCAGAGATTCTGAGCAGCCCTGGAGCGACTTTGTTAGCGCTGTAATAAGATGAGCACACCTTTCATCTGAGGATCGGAAATGGCTTAACAGGCTCTAATTAAGCCTTGGAGGTCTGACATGCCTAGTTAAAGATGCGGATCTCAATTTTTTCTATTGGCTAATTGTATATCACAATGGGGGTAACTCAGTTTTCTCTCTCTGAGCAATGAAGATGGAAACCCCTCAACGATTCATCTGGCTGAACCCAAGGACTATTGAAACTGAATTCGGATGGCACACTCTGGTGCTTGCCTGTGATTACATAGAAAGCTGGCTCTACTGACATAATCATGATAGCTACCATTTATTGTCGCCTATGTGATGTGCTATGCTGAGTGGCGTATATATGTGTTTAAAATTTCTCATCCTTTTATCAACCCTGCATGAAAGCTATTCTCTCATCTTGTAGGCAAAGAAACAGAGACAGAGAGATACAGTATTGTATCCACATTCGCACGGCCAGTGAGTGCCAGACTTCAGCACTGAGCCAGGTCTAGCTGTCTTCAAAGTCTAAGGTCTTTCCACTATGCAAAGTTGCCCCAGAACATGTTGGAGGAGACCTTCAGGCCTCTCATTCAATCCTCTAACCCGATGCAAGAATGTTCTCCACCATGCTCCTGAGAGAGACAGCCACCCAGCGTCTCCCTGAGCATGTCCCGGGCTGAGAAATTCACCACCTCTCAAGGAACGCATTCCAGAATCTT